ATATATATATATATATATATATATATATATATATATATATATTATAGTAGTACTTTGAAGACTGGGCAAGGAGCCAGGTTTATCGTGCCAAGACTCCCACTGTGATGGTTGTAAAGAAAATAAAAGAATCCACATCTAAAGCTGACTGTTAATGAGCTCCAATTAGACAACTTCATAAGGACAATTTGTATTAGAGTTTAGGTTAAGAGCTTTAATATCTGTGCCAATATTAGTGCTGCTCCCTGTAAGCACATAAGAGTTACCTTTGCATACGCCTTTCCTCCCTTCAGCTCCTGAAGAAAAGAAGCAAAAACATATTTCAGAGCAAATAGAGGACAGAAAATAACTCAATCTCCCAGTTTGTAACCCAGAAACATCAGATGATGGAAATTTAAAGTGATTTGGTTCATGTTCTGCCAGGTTTCACATCCATCAGCCGGGTTTCGGTTAAACACAACCCACGCAGAACTTTCAGAACATTTAAGACACTAAAAATTTTACATGAAAACATTTAGTGGTGCAAAATTGCTGTACCTTTCTCACAGACACACGACATATGCAGGGGTCCAGCACGCCTGTTCCTGCACTGGCGCTCATCTTGCAGGGGAAAGAAAATCGCTTCCTCCATCGAACGCAGTTGGCCTGCACCGGCTCCCTGTTACAGGAAATCACAAAGAATTAGCTCACCTTTAAACACTGTTTAAGGTCAGATAGTAGTGTATGTATGGGTGCAGGGGTCTGTGTCCTGCATTCTTAAAGGACTCCAACTGACTGTTGAGGAAGCCAAGGGTGATTGTTGGAGCAACATCAAGACATTTTTGTTTGAGCACAAAAAGAAAAGAAAAGAAAAGAAAAGAAAAAACAAAACAAGCATGGACGTAAGAGTTAAAAATAGCAATTTATGGTTTTCTTTGAGATCAGATCTGCTGCAGATTAATTGGTGCCTCTCTAGAAGGAATATTATTATTGTTTATGGAAGCCATTAGACTTTATTATGGAACAATTTTCAACCAATTTCACATTCAAATTCAACCAATAAACAAACTGGTAACTACAGACAAGTTAGAAAAGCCTTTTCATTTGCAACCCATTCAGGATTACTTCAATTTGCTTCAATTACCCGACTTTCATAAGCCACAGGTATTCCCTGTTTAAAAGGCACTCCGGTCAATATGATTATAACCTCATTTTTTTACAGATAAAAAAACAAAAACAAAAAGTTGTCTTCTTGTTTTCCGTTTATTGATTCATCTAACAATGCCGGAAACATGGCTTCCCATTCTGTCGTCAGGTTAGGCTGCACGTGAGTCGTGCCCCCTGCTCTGAGCAAAAAGGCTGAGATGAAGCTGTGTGCGTGGGCAGAATTACGATACCACAGATGGCTTCACTTTCACCAGCCCTCTCTCCTCTCCCACTCACATCACTGCACAACTCCAATCTGTTTATACAGCCCATCATGCCGTAAATTATCTGGCATTTTGCTGGACATAAAAACCAAACATAATAGGTTTTTTTTTTCTTTTTTTTGCAGAAAGAAATTTGAAATTAAAAACTGGGTTAAAGCTACTCTAAAGGTATAAGATTTCAAACCAACATAGTGATAATGAGATTAGACATCCAGGCTCATATCCTGCACAGCATCACTGCCTATAAATGAAAAACAGCAGATGTGTGACTAATGTTGGACAAATGCTTACTTCATCCCGGGGATCTTCTGAGGGTGAACCTTCAGAGTAAGAGAGGGAACTCCCTGTCAGCTGGACATTGTGTGCTTCGGGAATTCTGGCTCGTGTTCATGCTTCATGCTCTACGGCTCCGAGCGTTTTTTTTTTTTTTTTTGTGTGTGTGTGCAGCAAAATCCTATTAGCCGGTGTGAGTAGCTCTGTGTTAAACCAGATCTCCCCTTGTTTCTCTGCATGGTTCAGATGCCTTACAAAAAAAAAATCTACATCTGCTCTACATTAAAAGACACTAGCCAAAGAAGTTCACTTAAAAATATATATAAATGAAACAGCTGCATATTTTTGAAATTGGACCCTGATTATGAGTGATGCTCCAATCACTGGGTGAGAGATTGGAATCAGCCATTTTTTCAAGTCAGCATTTGGTCAAATGGAGGGGAAGGGGAAAGGGAAGGGAACCCCCCACCCTCCCTGACAAAATTGATGCATGCATTAAAACCATGAACTCACACTATCTTTGTTATATAAATGCCCTCAGCTAACAGCAAGATCTCCTTTTGCTTAAAATAAATCCAGTTAGGTTAAGGACGAAGCTTTCTTACCACATTACTACTACTATCAAAGAACCTAAGGAACATTTTGCACATTTATAAACATTAGACTTGAATCAGCTGAGCATTAAAAGCATGATCACTGCTTCTCAGTAAATGTAAAAAGGAAAAAAACAGATGTAAGCTTCACTGAAGGAAATAAATGGGGTAAAGAAAAAACAGTTAGATAAGCTTTAAACCTCATCTGTTGTTGCAGCAAACCCATAAGCATCCTGAGTTATCCTGACTGTTTTTTTTCTTTTTTTTATCTGAATCAATTTTTTGTGGAAATGTTTGAGGAAATACTGCTTCATCAACCATTTCCACCCTGAGGACCACATTCAAAACATTGCTCCCCCCCCATTGTAAGCCTTAAGGCTGATATAATTTATGAGCATCACCCGCTTGACTTTCCTTGCGTCATTCTTTCAGCAGAAACAGCAGAAACATGAGTCAGATACTCCAGGGTTAACGTGAATAAAGGATATAGGTCATTTCCTCTCAAATTCAACAGCTCTGATGGCGTATTTTACACATTTTAACACAGGTTAGAATTGTAACACACAGCAGAATCGCTTCAGTTCCTCTCATGTTTATGCTTTTATTTTGTTTTTTTTATAGCGAATGTCTCATGATCCTGATGGGGCAAAGTCAACCACTCTGCTTGTTATGTTCATTCTTTTTTATTTGTATCAGTTAATGAATAATTGAAGCGTTATAATAGAAAAAGAGACGTAGACATCTTTATATTGCAGTCCATTTCATGATGCTCACATATTTACAGCATGTCCTTGAGCATATTGAGTTATTAAAAAAAAAAAATCACACACTGTTAAACCGAAAAGAAAAATACACTGATCTTCTGACATGATCAGGACTGATGATGTTCATATGAAAAGGGATTTAAAATGAACATAATCAGCAACATTTGGAAACATATTCCTTGTTGAAGTTTGGATTTAAGTTAAAGAAGCTACTGGAATGGTTTCCTCCGAGTTAAAGTACTTAAACAATGTTGGATTAAAACATTTTTTTCTATAAAAATGTACCGCTTCATCTTCCTGATAGGAAGTGATAACTTTTTCTCTTCTGATTAGAACTATGCTGAGTCAGCACTGTGACCAAATACACGCTGGTTGAACCGGACGTTACCCATCAGGGTAAAATTGTGTTTTTCAAGCATTATTTTTTAAACAAAGTTTTCATTTCTATTTGCCTGTTGATGTTTTGTTCAAACAATCGCATCTGGTGCGTAACTGTATGCAAACCTTGAAATCAGCAAGTCTCTTCTTTATTACTTTCATTCTTTAGTCTTTCCACCCTTTTTTTCCTGAGAGAATGTTTAAACTAGAAACTAGGACTGAAACAGTGATTCGGATTATTTCTACAATTTAAACCAATCCAAATAACTGTCAACTGGACAAGATATTTAATATTTAAAATCGTTATAATCATGATCTAGCTGTAATTCCCGAAATTGATGTTTTTAAATGTTGAGTTGACTTCTTTTTTATATTTTAGCCACTTACATTGTTTTTAAAATGTGCCATAATGCATTTTCTTTTTTCTTTCTTTCTTGTTTTTTTTAGATGTTATTTTGCTAAAAGTATATTATGCATTCACCAACACCATGAACATCTGCTGCCTCACTAGAAATACAGCAATCTTTGAACTTAATTTGAAAATCAATAAATAACCTTTGCAGATTTTGTTATGACCGGTGCATATAAAAAAAAAAAAAAAATCAGCATTTTATAAATAAAGTTTCTGCTTTGCAAGAACTTTACATTTTTGATCTATCAAATGCAAGCTTTAAATCCTTCAGCACTAAGTTTAAGTCAATAAAATGCACAAATCAACCTTTCCAGGGATCTAACCTGCAGACTCCACTGCATCTGGATTATGGTGCATGTCCATCCCTGACCTATGACCCCTAACTTACACACAATTAGTGACAATGTTTCACTATCCAACACACAGGTGTTGTTTTGGAGGTAATGTTAGCTAAATTTAAAGTACCGTAACATCTACTCTGAAAACACAAATAAAATGACAGAACTCTCCTGTTTCTTGACTAAATATCTTATATTAGACATAAAGATATTACAATATGGTTATATTTGACACATTTTATATCTCCATCAGTGGTCTATGACCATAAACAAACCTTTAAATCGACTAAAAGACTCGTTAATCTTTTAGCCGTTGAGATAAATATATAATAACGACTTACACCACAGAGTCTGATGCTAAAAACAATAAATAGGTTTAACTATAGTGGCTCAATTCAAACTATTTGTCTTTTCTTATTTTACCTTGAAGACTCCTCTGAGAATCCGCCATCCAGCAGCCTGACTTTACAGAAGAGGACACCGTTGACGATGGGGACCGACGACAGCTCATCCAGCTCAAAATCCACCCTGAACTTGAATTTCTTCTTCTTCATCATCATTAAATCCATATACAGCCTCGGCGGTTACGAGAAGATGCTCCGAGCCCAGGAGTGGCAGACATTACAGCCCCATTGTGTTCGCCTAGTCTGGTTCAGTGGACCGTCGCTGCGAGAGGATGAAGCTACGGTTGACAACAGGCCGTCAACGGAACAGAGCAAACCCAAACCAGATCTACTTCCTGTTTTATCCTTCATAATAAAAGCACCTGATCTTACCACGCGCTCATTTAGGGATTCTTTTACATGCATAAACAAATTTTTTTGAAACTGTCCCTTTTTTTTTTTACTTATGTGATTTTTTTTCTCAAAACATCAACAAGAAATCAGGTTTTCGGTTTATATTAACATGTGGATTAATTCGATTTTGTTTTGTTTCTTTGATACAACTTAGTAATCAAACTTTAAGTTTTTTATGAATAAAATAAGCAAATACTTTTTTTTTTTAAATAGCCTATTTGCCATTTCCTGGGGCAATCCCAAAATTCTAATATAAAATCAAGTTTTGAACTCCAGTAAAACAATTTTAAAAGCATTTTTTTTTCTCTCACAGTCATTAATTTGTGATTAAATAAACTGTGATACAGACACATAAAACTTCTATCATTCATTTTCTAGTAAACACCTGAGATTTTGGGACAAATTATTTTGGAAACACATCTCAACAAAAGCCCCACTTCTGTTTTAGGTGAAGTAGTCCCAGATCTTGGCAGCACCTCTACCATATTGCACTTTGGGTATTACGTTCTTTGGCAAGTGTGTGTTGTTTTTGTATAAAACCTTCCTTCTGAATTTGTGATCCAAAGTTTGATTCATAACACATTTTCCCAAAAGGTTTTGGAATTTTTTATCAAGGCCTGGTCCTCTGATCAAAAGGCTTCTGTTTCATAGCTTTACTCCTTCAAACAAAGATGTAGAGAATTTCTTTGTTTTTTAGTAATGTCTGGAATGTAACCAGTGCTAAGTATAAATAATGTTTCCTAAAATAAATATTCAATTATAATTTAAGATAATAAAAGATCTGTCACATTTTTTATTTTTTCAAATCAATCTATTGATTGTTGTAATGAAGAAAGACATAGATATCAGTAAAACAGCTACAGGACAATATGAAAAATCACAGTATCTACTAATATGTTGCTTATCTGTGAATAATATTGTTTTGTATGTCTCAATATTAGAATTTGAGAAACAAAAGAAATATGACTTTACCTCATAAACATTACAATCTTCTCTATCATGAAAATAAACTCTGCTTAAGATATTATACCCAGTATTATATCTAAATAAGGAAACAAGATTATGAAATCTATGTAGGAATAAATTACTGTTTTGTTACTACTAAAGCTAAAAGTAGCTTTATTTGAGTCTTCTTTTACTTTGAAGTGCCTCTTTACTAAAGGGATATACAGTCGTGACCACTTTGAACTAGCTGCTCTTCAAAATAAAGCCCGCCTCTTTACTCGAGCTCCCCCTGCTTGTCAACGGGAAAACTGCAGCACTGATTGAACAGATTAGAACAAAGCGAAACCACCAACTGTTATCATGTTCGTTGTTGCCACCTAGTGGTTAAAACTTTTCACTGCGGTAAAATACATAAATATAAAAAAAACAACGGAATTTTGGCGACATCTACCGGATATTTAAAGGAATAACACATATTTAAAGTACGGTTGTCACATCGACTTTGCACTATGGGTGGGTCTCAGTTTATGACATGTAAACGCTCTGATGTGTGTGTAAAACCAACCATAAATATTTCAATTATTGGAATGAGTTCTAAGAACAGGTTAAGCTCACGTCGAAAGCAATTGCTGGCTCTAAGATGGGTGTGTCTGTGTGCGCAGTAAAAGTAGGAGGTCTTCTAGGCCAACTGGGGCGAGTCTTTCTCCACCCCTCTGCCAGCCTACCTCATCCGCTGAAGTATTTTTTTTTTACTTTCATATAAACCTTTTTTAAGTTTTTCTTTGCGGATTACACACTCCAGTGTCCCATGAGGATCTCCTGTAGTTTCCTATTCAGGTTGCAGCGCGGATATCTTGTTAAAATCGGGCCAAACTCTCCTTCTGTCTAAAACCAGAAGTGCCAAACCGCAGGAGTCGACTTGCGCTCTTTTCCCCATCGTTGCTTGGGTTGTGCGTGTGGAGCTCTCTGTAGGCCTCGTTGGATTTGTTTTTATTTTTTCAGCTTGAAACCATGTATCCTGCAGTGAGAAAGCTGTTTTTCTCGGACTGTCGGTGCGCAGGAGATCCATCAAAGAACTACGAGGAGCTGTTTGCAAAGCTGGACACCAACAAGGATGGGAAAGTGGATGTTAGTGAGCTCAGGGCAGGAATGGCTGCAATGGGCATCCAGACTGGGAAGAGAGCTGCTCAGGTAGATGCATACTGGAAAACATATACTTTTATGCTTTTCAGTAAGAAATGTTGTGTGTAAGTCTAATCAGTTTAATCTAATGTGCCATACTAGTCATTTTAAATGGAAAGGACGAAAAAGAAAATATTTATTAATTTTTAACCATAATGGAAAAAACAACAAAATCAGTATATTTAATCCGATTTAATTGCAATCAAATGTATATTTCCTGTCTGACTAATTAGCAATATTCTTCACACAGATCAGTTTAATTTTAAACAAATCCCCTATTCTGTAGATGCACCAATTGATTAACCTGCTGACTCCAACTTGGACTGATTCAGACTTTTTGCTTCCATCAGAACTACATTAAGAAGATAAATAACAGCCTGTAGCATTTTCTTTAAAAAAAACAACAACAACATTTCTCATTATTGGAATGGATCAAAATGAATGTATGGATGAAAGATGGTGGGAGATGTTACAATAGGAGTCAGGATCCTACAGACTTTTCAGTTTTTGACTTGTTGACCTCCGATCAAAGGTTAATAAAGGGGATTGAAACATTCTCTGGATGAATGATTGGTGCATTTCTACTAGTCAGTGCTATATATTTCTCAGTATAATACCTTGAAATGGATTAATTGTACTGTTGGGATAAGTTTTGCATCATATTTTGCATGCTGAAGTCTGCTGCGGGGCTGATAACTGTTTTTTTGGCTCATGCACCCATATAAAGTTAGATATGTTTACTTGCATAAGCATAAGCATAGGCAAGAACTGATTCTGTTTCAAAGAGGAGGGTCTTAATGTTTGGGGGCTGGGTGGCTACCTTTATGAGGTGTACTAATTTTTCTCTGGAAAATACTTCTATGAAATAAACAGACATTTTGAAATTAAATTAATATGAATGTTTAGCCGAGCTTCAATAAAAATTGATAAACAGACTAATTTATCACCATGTTTGACTAGATAAGACAAGTTTATGTTTAGAAAATGCAAATATGAAAATTGTGCTTTAGATTAGGTGGGATTTTCTTGTACAGTCTCTGTGTACATCCTGTCATTATGGATGGTTGTACTAGTTGTAGCTGCATTGCAGATCATCTGGTTTAAGCAAACTAAACGACCTAAACTCAGCCTCCATTTTGTTTGTTGTGTGAAAGTTGAATTTACTAATGTGGAATTATGCCCTGGAGCAAGGCAGTTCACCTGAAACTGCTCCAGCATGTCTGATCAGAAACCAGGTGGTTTGTCATTTCCCCTGGTGTTTCTGACCTGGGTAAGCTAAATGAAAATAAAAGATTTCTTTTTTTTAATAAACAGGAAGATTTCAGAATATTTGTGAGGATCTTTTTTTAATCAAAACTACAGTAAAATCAACAAGAATTTAACTGGATGATTGAGCCTGGTTTAAATTCAGTAATGCAAATTTTATTTTAATTTATCTATTACAACAAAAGATAATTCAATAATTTGTTTATAGAAACAAACAACAACTGATATTAAAAGAATGAGTTTCTTGATTGGTTTATTCCGAGCCAGAATTGAAACCCAGCTCAGCTTTCCAAACTCTAGAACATAAGGAGGAATTTGGAATTTCTTTGTTTAAAATAAGATCATTTACATAAAAGTAAAGTCCACATATTTCCTTAGGTAGTCAGATAAACTATTTTGTTTCTTAAGAATTTAGGCAACAGCCTGAATGAAATAAACTGTTGATTTTACCTTTCAGTAAAAGTCCAGGAGCAGCATTTTAAGGTTATCTGGAAAAATGGGTTAATGTAGATTAGTTGTGCAAATAACAATTATTTTCAAATCGAATAATGTTTTAATTTTTTTTTTTTTCGATTAACCAATAATAATTGATTAGTTTAAGGTTATTTAAAGATTTTTTTTTTTACAAAATTAAACCAGGTGAAACTAAAACCTTTCCACTTCAGGAGTTCTAGGTAGAGCGTATTGACAGACACATTTTATTTTTTTTCATCTTAAATGCAAAATTAGTATGTATTTTGTTTACAATTTTAATAATTACTACTCTAAGTGGGTTGCTCTGTCAGCTAAAGGCATATTTTAGAGTCTCAATACTCCAGTTAACGATTAATAGATTACTAAATTAGTTGAAATGATTTCAATAATCGATTTATCAAGATTAATCTGTTTAATTGTTTCAGCTTCAATGTAGATTAAAGGTCTATCCTTAGGTGTACAGGTGAAATACAGTAGATCCTTCTCTACAGCAAGCAAACCAGCTGTTACTGTAACCTTATCTGTCATAACCATGATGAATTTTCAGAAGCTTTGTTTCTGTTTCGAATTTTCCAAAATTTTTCTAAAAAGTTTGAATTTTAATTCATTGTAATGATCACAACTATCTAGACATTATGTTTCTCTTTAGAAAAAGCTGCAGGATCCGGCTGCTAAAAAGCACAGCGACTGACATATAAAGGAATCAAGGGATTTTACCTTAAAAGGTAAAGCTTCAGATTAATGGGAGCTGTTGGGCCCTAAAGAAAGAATCCCTCTTTATATGAGTGAATGTTAAAAGGTTAAATGAAGGAGAGGCCACTGCTGTGCGTGTGACTCAGGGCTGTAAAATAAATAAATAAAAAGCTTTCAGGGATATGATAAGCAGTAATAAATCTCCAAACTGGTTGCTTTTATGTTATCTACAGACTTAAAGACATTAGATGTGTTATTTCTGTAGATTTTAGACTGGAACAGGAAAAAATGTATTGTAATATTATCAAAATATATTCAAATGAAATTAAAGCAACATGAGTTCTGCATGTTACTTATCTAAGAGTCCAAAGCACTGAGAAGATGACACAGGAACTAAGTGTGGACATGTGAGGAAGCTTATCTTTTTCTTATGCTGCCCCCTACTGGCAGAATTCCTACTGCTGCTTGTGTGGGAGATGGTAGAGTCACCTAATTTCTCCTCAGACCTCAAAGCTCTCCCTTCGACCAGGGAGGAGGTCAGAAACTCAAGAAGCAGATCTGGGAAAGACTTGTGAGGAATCTGACCGCTGATGTTGTTTTTGTTTGTTTTTTACTCTAGAAAATAATTTCTTCTGGTGACAAAGACAAAGATGATGGACTAGACTTCAGCGAGTTCACCAAGTACCTGAAGGAGCACGAGAAGAAGCTGCGTCTGACTTTCAAGAGCTTGGACAAGAACAACGATGGTACAGAGAAAATTCCCAGAGTCGAGTCTTTGAATCTTTGTTTGAGTTTCTCCTCTTCATTCGGCTCGTCTGTTTGAACAGGTAAAATCGACTACATGGAGATAAAGCAGTCTCTTGCTGATCTGGGTATGGACATCAGCAAAGAGGATGCAAAGAAGATCCTTGAGAGGTATTTTAACATCTACACTTTATCCTCTGGTCTTGGTTGCAAAAGTGGATCAGTTGCAGAAATGTGTACAATTTCTAGAAGAAAAATTAAAGTGTCTTATAATGAAAGTTTAAAGGAAGCGGCTTTAAGCAGCAGAAGCTTAAGGTGGAGACAAGTGTGAGGGAAAGATAACCAGGGAGCGGTGGGGGGAGCAGGTGTCACATGATAAAGAGCTAGTACCCCACACTACTTCCTCCCAGAACAATAAATAAACTACCTTTTAATTTATAAAGACAGACTATTTACCAAACAGTGTGACTTTACTATATCAAACTGATATTCATTCCTTCTTAAAAGAGATGTTACCAAACGGCATTTTGTAATATCCTGCACAGCTACAATCAAGACATTTAGGTGAGAAGAGAGATATAAAAAAAAGGCTTTTCTAAAGGTATTTTTTTATTTTATAAACACTTGGCTGGACACAAAATACTTAAATGTGACTAATTAAATTTTTTGTGAATTAGTAGGTAAGATATGGGGTTTGAACAGCCCTAAAAAAAAAAACAATAGAATCATTTGCATAAAAATGTATATCTACTTTTAAAGTAATATTTACAGATTCAAATATAGTTTAACTGTAGAGTTAGATAAGCTGGTTTCTGTTTCCTTAAAGGTATAGTGGTGGATGATCTTTGTCCAGGTGGATCATCCTAATTGTCCTAATTGTAAAAGTGCTCCTCCTAATTGTCAATTATTCTGGTGATGTGTTTAAGTAAGGCCGTCCTACATGCTCGTCCCCATTTTCACTTACTGGTGCTGAGTCTGACATAGTGGAAAAATTGCGAATCTTCTTTTGTAAAGTAAGCTTGTGTGACGGATGCAAACAGCAACTTTTAAACAGAGCGTGCACGAGGAGAAATGGGCTCGTGCATTCTCCCGCACGCATTTAATAGGCGTTCCCTCTCAGGGGGTTCAGGATTGTGCATGTGCATTTTTTTTAATAGGTCTAATGGACTGCTTGTACATTTGAATGTTAGAGCTTTTCTAGTTTCATTCACCCAGTCACGCTCACAGATTCACACATTCATACTGATGCATCCAATTGGCAGAGGATGAAGCAAGCATCTAACCAGTTACTTTCTGATTGCAAAATGTCTGTCCTCAACTGAGCCATGGCTACATGATGTAATTTCAAGTTAAAGTTTTGTTCGGTCCGCGGCTTTATAAAAGGGAACATTTTTGTCTCTTTCTCCCACGTTTACTGTGTTCCTTTACGTGGCTTGCTGTAAACATTAACTCTTTGACGCCTTCATATAGCAATGGCTTTCATCATGCCTCTATTTTAAGGAAAAGTCCGGTCATATTCAGAATTCAAACTTCTGAAAGTAATACAGAAATGAAATTATTACATGCTGTTCAATAAATGATAAGTGTTTTTAATTTAGAGTAATTTAATTTGACTATGCTTTACCAGAATCAAAGAACACTACTGCCTCCTACCGGTTTGTGACGTCACTGTGCGGTATCGGCTGTTGATCAAGTCTCAATGCTGTATCTGGTGCTTTCACAATGCTGTTATCCAAGTCGTGTTGAAAACATTCTTCTTTAAAATGTTTGCTACATATTACGTGTTTTTTCTCTGGCCAGAAATTCTATGGCAAATCCTCCCTCTTTAAGTTGGCAATCCAACAATGAATCCATCCTTGGAGGATCATGAATTGGAAAGGTGAAATAACTAATTATTTTTCACTTTTACCCAATGCATTAAAACATCCAACTGCATCCATGCACAAAGGCATTGTCACTTTAACAATAGCTCTTGCGAATTTCAATGATGAAGTCCTCTCGAAATCTTAACTAATTGTGATTGTTTGCAAATATGTGTAGTAGTTCCCATTGATTTTGCTTGTAAAGCTGAAAGAATGGCGCTCGGCTTACCACACTATGACGTCACTGCTTGAATATGTCAGGGGTTAGGTGTGACTATTTGGGCAAAAATGGCCCAATTTTAATTATTTATTTATTTATTTATTTATTTATTTATTTATTTATTTATTTATTTTAACTGATTAATGCTAAATTCATTAAATCATAATGATGAATTATGCATTACTTGCAGACCAGACTTTTCCTTTAAAAGACAAATTTGAGGATTTTATGACTAACAGCTCTGGCATAAAAGTCTCTTCTCCCTTAAACTTTGCATCTCTGCGGCTCCTTCATAGTTAGCATTCATCTCCTGGCAGCGTTTTACAGTTATCGGTCCGTTTTTCTGTTTTTTTTTTTTTTACAAATAGTGTATTTTCATGTATTGGTAAGATTTACATTTTGGGATATGTCTGATGTAGTTTTTTATTCCCTTTTCCTTTCTGCTTCCACTTCAAACCAGTTCAGTGCATTACAGAAAAAAAAAGGCATGATGTGACATAACAATATGTAAAGGAAGACACAAGTAATAGTTGGGGCAAAAAAGTCTGTCAAACAGGATGTGTGAGTCAGACAGAGAGGTTTGGTTTGAAAAACCACAGCAAAGGGTGCGGGTCAACTACCAGAGCAGACATAAAAGAAGGAAAAAAAAATTTCTTCCGTTTTGTGTTAAATTAAATAGAGGATGTAAAATCTCTGTTCTTTGTGATGTCTGGTTTTATTTTTTTTATGCATTTCAGTTATGCAGTCCTGTTGTTGATACACTAGTATATTCGTCGTGCAGGAAAATGACCTTGAGCTGTTGCATCCTTTCTAAGTTTACTTGACAGTTGAATTGTTGAATTTGCTTGATAATTTGAATGGAAGCTGTGAGATTATTTCCTGAGTCGATGGGTCTCAGTTTAGCTGCAATATCCGCATTTTATGGTTTGTTTGCTGGTTTCTTGTTCCTTATCTTTGATCAAATTGAGAGTCTGCAACAAGTATCTGCAACCCTTGAACTATTTAACAATTTGTCATCTTGTATTTTGGTATTTTATACACATAAAGATTCATATGATTGTCAAATGGAAACAATTTTTTTTTTTTTTTTTACTTTAACATAATAAAATTATAATATACCTTTATATTAATCCCCCTGAGTTAAGACCTTTATAGTTTGTGCATATCTGTAGAATAGATGGAGACTATATGTTTATTCTACTTCTTTAAAAACAAGCTTTAGCTTAATATTGGATTGGGTGGGGGGAGTCTATAAAAATCTGCTTTCAACCCTTCTTACAGATTCTCAGTTAACCAGTGGTGAGTTTTATTATACAGCTTTAAGGATTTGTTGTATTTTAGCTCCATCCACTGACCAGCTTCCCTTTCCCAGCTGTAGAAAGGCTTTCCCACAGCCTGATGCTGCCTTCACCATGTGTCATCATTGGAATTGCTCTCTGATCTGCACAGTCAGACAGAAAACATTTTTGGATTCAACTGGCCAGCAGGTCTTCCACATCTTTGCCTTGTCATCGGATGATTAATAAGCCTGAATCAATCGATCAATCAATCAATCAATCAATAGCTCCCTGAATACCACGTCTTTTTTAAAAATTAGAATAATCTTTTTTATTGTGTTTTATTTTGGTCTATTGAATGAAATCCCAATAAAATACTAACATTTGGATCAGTGATCCATGGTCCCCAAGGCAACCATCAAAAATAATTGGATAAATATTTTATTTTATGGTCATTAAATTTGAAAAAAGAAAATTGTCACAAAAATGTACCAACTATGTTCAAAAATTTATAATTTAGAAACGTTTACCACCAAAATATTTACAAGGAATTTCTTAGTTCTAGTTGCTTAACTATATTCTTTGTTATCCACTAAAAATGAAGACATTGAGTAAATCTGTTTCTCTCTGCTCTCCAGTATTGATGTTGACGGCACCATGTCTGTGGACTGGAACGAATGGAGGGAGCACTTCCTGTTTAACCCGGCAACCAGCCTGCAGGAGATCATTCGCTACTGGAAGCACAGCACGGTGAGAGTCTGGCCACTAATTCAGACAGAGATCTATTCAAAACTTTGAGAACTTTTCGCTTTTTCAACCTTTTTTTTTGTCTTTATTCATTAATAACTATTTTAATGACTATTTTGTAATAGGCATGCATAATGTTTTTAATTTTAAATGTATTACCAGTGAAGTCTACTGTTTGCTTTTTACACATAAAAGAAGCATGATTACAACAATGAAAAAAGGGGGAGGAGCATAAAGATCCAAATAAGTTAAATATTTTGGAACAAATATTTCAGTGAAATTGAATGATTAAATGAGTGTCCATTCATGGTGAGGCTGAAAGCATGAATGACTGAGGGATTAGTTTTCCTGAGAGGAACGCAAGTAGAGGCAGACGCATTTAAATGGATTTAAACCTACTTAGAAAAAAAAATTTATACTGGAAAATAAGTTTCTAGTTATTTTAACAATTTAAAAAGCAAAAGAAAAATTTATGAATTAAACATGCAAAAACATTAAAGATAGCTGCTGGAGGGAGCAGCAATGCATTGGGCTCATGTGATCTCAGGGCACCGTGAAGCATGCACATATCAGCAAATGCCAATTCAGAGAAATATCAACCAAAAATATCTGCCTGGTAATGTATCTGTCTATGCAACAGTATGACATTCTCTGTGTATGATCCCCTTGTTCTGAAAAAAAAAAATCCCACAGTATCACCATATTGACACACAAAAAAGCCTATCAGGATTAATTGTAGATTACACAGAATATTATTCCATCTATTCCTTATAGATTAACACCAGGAGTATAACCTTGTTATATTTAATTTAGGTTATATTAGTTAAGGGATCTGTTCCGAAAGTCTGCTTACACTCAAACATTGTGAAGAACACTTGAAAATAATATAATAAATGATAACAACACAGAAATAATCTCTGGGATTTGTTTTGTTGTGAATTATTTTGCTGAAAAACAAGGAGTGCTTTTTTTGTCTGAATGGCAGCAGCCAGACCGCGGCTGATCTCTGACGTTAGCAGTCTCTGTTTGCCGTCTCAGCCTACGTGGATGAATTACCCGCTGCTTCCTAAACCCCAGCCGAGATGAGCTAATTTTAATCTGACCTCTATCCAGATTAGCCCATCAGGGGGATTTGGAATAGATGCGTTGAAAGGAAAAGCATTTAGAGCAGCTCAGGCTGAGAGGAGAGTAGTTGGGCTGAGGCACCAGTGAGGTTGCATCAGTTAACGGTAACATTTATGGCACTTAGAACTTTCTACCACCTGCTGTATTCAAACTGCTTCCTGCTGGGCGCTCTGGATACAGTGTTTATCTCTGCAGGACACCAGCATAGGTTCTGGGTCTTAATAATTGAATAGTGTGAAGAATCCTCCTCAGTCTGTGAAGGGAGCCTGCTCCAAACAGAACTCTGTTGCTCTGGTAAATCCTTTGGATGACCATGGCTCTGCTGCAGCCTCAGCAGCAGCAGGCTCACTGGTTTTTCCTTGAATTTGAAGATGGCGGAGGGATCTATGAGGTGGATGTGGATATGGTAGGTCCTCACATCAGTTATTAATCCTCTGTAAAGTGATAGAAATAAAGAAATTAAGGCATTCACATATTTAATTATTATTCATTTTTTACAGAATCAAGTTGCAAAATTTCCTTCTATTAAAAATGTTGATGTAAAACATTTTTATTATTGTGCCTTTTTCTATTGATTTAGGTAAAACATATTAGATCAAATAATTAGATCAAGCTTATATAATTCAGCTCTTATTTAAGGATGTCTTTTTTATCATCTATTAGATAAACATGTAAAACCAAAATTAAAGAAAAAGTCAGTTAAAACGTGATGTTGTGTCATGTTTGTTGCATAGTTTTTGCTGCAGGGACCAAATTTTGACCAAACAGCAAAACTTCCACATGTGACAATTGGCTAATGAAGTAAAGTGTTTTAGATGAGGGGAGAATCTTTTTATATGTTTATTTTTCCTTATTTTGGAGTGTGCTGTGATGCTTTAAACTGCAATTACTCAAACTGGGTGAGGAAATGAAGAATGCCCCATTCTGCTGAGCGTTAAGTGTAAAGCATGTATTTTAAATGGGAAGGAATCGGTTTAAATCATGTTTATTGTCTAATTAAAGACTCTACATCAGGTTTGCATGGTTGTTGCTGACCCCTTCTCTCTGCTCAAACAGACAGACATTTCTTCTGTTTTCTTTATGCTTTTCTACATGTCTTTAATGTTAACTTTAATGTTTTTCTAAGTCTCTTAATTCAGTGAAAAGCTTAAATTACTCCAGATAATAAAAGTTTGCAAATAACAATGTATTAAAGTGATTGTGATGCCTTTAGGTGCTGGATATTGGCGATAGCCTTACCATCCCAGATGAGTTCACAGAGGAGGAGAAGACAACAGGGATGTGGTGGAAGCAGCTGATGGCCGGCGCCATGGCCGGAGCTGTGTCCCGTACAGGAACTGCCCCGCTCGACAGAATGAAGGTCTTCATGCAGGTGGGTCAGATATTTTTTTTATGCCATAATTGTTGAAGAAATTGTCCAGCATAAATTAAAGGTATAGAGGAGGATTTTCGCGAATTTTTCAAAAGACCTTTCTACTTAAAAAAAATTCACCTGCACAACCCTGTACCCGCTCCCGAAAGGGAATACCTATTATACGTGTGTGAAAAGTAAGCTTGTATGAGTGATGCAAACAGCAACTTTTAAAGAGAGCGTGCATGAGGTGAAATAGGCTCATGCACGCTCTCTTTAAAAGTTGCTGTTTGCATCACTCATACAAGCTTACTTTTCAAAAGAAGATTTACAATTTTTCCACTATTTTAGACTCACCACTGGTAAATAAAAAATGGGGACGAGCACGTAGGATGGCCTTACGTAAACATATCACCGGAATGATTGACAATTAGGAAGACCACTTATTTAAATGATCCACCTGGAAAAAGAACATCCTCCACTTTACCTTTAATATTTGTGATCATACCAGTTTCTGTTTTTTGTGCCTTTTTAGTCTGAAATCTTAGTTGTGACTCAGAATTTAGGAGTTTGACTTGAACATGGCACATAGTTATTTTTTTTGTTTTTTATTTACAGGTTCACGCTTCTAAGAGCAACAAAATCAGCCTGGTGGGGGGTTTTAAGCAGATGTTAAAAGAAGGAGGGGTGACGTCTCTGTGGAGAGGAAATGGCATTAACGTCCTAAAGATTGCCCCGGAGACGGCCATTAAGTTCATGGCGTATGAACGGGTATTTATTCTATAACTGAATGCCATCTATTTTTAATTTTTTTGGGGGGGATGTTGCAATTGAGTCTGAATGTGTTGTTTATGTGTCCAACCATCCCCTCAGTATAAGAAGCTGTTGGCCAGTGAACCGGGAAAGATTCAGACCCATGAGAGATTCATGGCGGGATCGCTGGCTGGAGCCACAGCACAAACTGCCATCTACCCCATGGAGGTGAGCAAAGATGTAGCTTTATCCATGAACGATCAGTTTGCCTGTAGGAGCAAATTTTCTACTCTTTGTCATCTCAGTCTTTAGTTCTTGACCTAATATTGAAAATATTTTAATTACCATAAAAATGATGTTGATTTGCTGAAGTGATCTACCATCAACATTTAAATCTGTCTTCTTTGCCCAGCTGTAAAGAAGACTTGTTAACTTATTTAAATAATATATGAATAGTTGATTAATAGATTAATGACACTGCTGGTATTCAAAGTTTCTTGCAAGACTTTTTTACGGGTATTACATATTTTTTCATACATACTTTTCAATGCAACTTTAAGAAACTATCCTTCAATCTACACCAGCCTCTGATGACATTAAATGACTGAAGGCATAAATAAACAAATATTTCTTTTTTTCAGAGTATGGAAATTTGTATTTTTGCTTGTTTTTGTTCTTTTTATTCAAAATCGTACTAGAGGATTAAAAAAGGACAAAGGCAGACCTTAATGCCTCCTTTCATTATCAAAGATCTTCAGCAAACATTTCAAGACAAATCATTCCAAAATTCCATATTGATACAAAATTAAGAACAAGAAAAAAAGTACATATCCTAAATCATTGACTTTCTATTGTGGAAATCATGCATGAACAGAACAATAAAACAAGTGAACACTGCCCTATTTTTTTATTATTGGTTCATTAACGGTCACTCTGGTTAGCCTATAGGGCCACATGTGGCTCCTGACCCCCGTCATCTTTTCTATCACCCACATTCTAGTCAACATTAGAGTAGAAATGTAAAGAAATACATCAATGGCTGAAGGTTCAAACTGGTTTAAAAAAATAAGGCCTGAATTCTCACAACCCAGGTGAAACTCTAGTACTGCAGAATTCAAACCAAATGCTTCCCGGAGTTGTTTTTTCTTCTCTTTGTGATCAAGTTAAAAATTAGCTGCTTTGCTTATTGATGATCTTGATCTGTTTTCAGGTGATGAAAACTCGGCTGACACTGAGGAAAACGGGACAATACTCAGGGATGTTCGACTGTGCCAAGAAAATTCTGAAAAAGGAGGGTGTTAAGGCATTTTACAAGGGCTACGTTCCCAATATTATTGGCATTATCCCCTACGCTGGAATAGATCTGGCAGTGTACGAGGTGGGTGGCGATAATTTTAAGCCCATCTGGCTACATTGAAAGAGTTTAAACACCAGAGTGATTTAAAGAGCAATTATCATCTCTATAAATGATCAATCAGTTCTGAGTTTTCCTGTAACACTCTTCCCCATCAGAGCTTAAAGAACATCTGGTTATCTAAGTATGCCAAGGACACAGCAAACCCGGGGGTTCTGGTGCTGCTGGGCTGCGGTACCATCTCCAGCACCTGTGGTCAGCTGGCCAGCTACCCCCTGGCGCTGATCCGCACTCGCATGCAGGCACAAGGTAAGACAATCCTAATCTATTCATTGAGAAAGCTTATCTGGACTCAGATCTGTCGATAATTTTTTTTATTAATCCATTAATAATCGGGTAGCCAAAGATTATTTAAAGAAGACTACAAAATTAAACAGGTGAACCTCAAACTTATCCACTTGAGGAGTTCTGGATAGAACATATTGACAGAAAACATTTTTTTTTCTTTTTCTTTATCTTAAATGCAAAAAATAGATATATTTTTTTTACAAGCCTGGTATAATTGCCGCTATTTTAGAGTCGCTATACTCTGTAAATAATTGATTGATTACTCTATTACTTGAAGCATATTACAATAATCGATTAATCCGTTAGTTGTGTCAGCCCTACTGCAAACAAAAAATGTTTGTAAAAAGAAATGTCTTAAATAGCTTAAGCAAATACATTTTGTTTTCGAGTTTTGAGCGTAAACGCCTAAACATTTGATTTGAAAAATATTTTTTTTAAACCAGAATTTATAAAAAGAAATGTCTGTTTAAAAACTTAAATATGCCTATTTTTTGGTTTCGAGATGATCTTAGATGTTTGGTAATCTTTGCCTACTTCAGAGTTGAATCTTGTTGTGCTTTGTGTCCATTTGATCCTCTGCAATAAGTGCTTTTTTTTTCTTTTTAGCTTTCAAATCAAATTAGACAACTTTACTGGAAGTTACAGGTCTAGCGCCCCTAGTGGCTAAAAGCGAGAGTGTTGCTTTAAAACGGGTCACCTGCCTTTTTCTACTTTGGGTACCGAGTCATAGGAAGAGCTACCAAAACTGACCCATGGAGGAGTCGGCATTCACCTAAACGTCATGCCAAATAAGCATATTTGTAATGTTTCTTTTCATTTCTACTTTTCTGTTAGATATTTTTATTTTGGGGTCTTTATAAATTCAAGTGTGATTAAAAAAAGAAAAAAGCAACATTTCAGAGTTAGCCTATTGCTGAGGGCATCCCACGTGGTCCTTGAGGGCCCCCAGGTGCCCGCTGGCACTGCACTGGTGACCCCTCCTTTTAATGTCTGGTGCAGTTGGAAATAAGCCTGTTGCCTGTAGCATTACATGCCCTCATATTTATAAAATTGCTTTATGTTCTCAAATATTTAATTTACTTACTGTAGTCACATTAATCTTGTAAAACTGTTTTATTTGTTTTTTGTTATTGAAACTATTAGAACTACATTAGACTAATAGATATATCTATTAGACTAATAGATTATAGTCTGCAAAGGCTGCTGGATATACAGTAAAGCTTTCTTGAGTGGCGTGTCTTTCAGCTCATTTAGGTGTGAGGAAACTTCTAGAAGAGCTAAATATTCTCATCAATCCAGATCCGTGTCCCAAATTAGGATTAGTGGATTAGTTAGATAACCTGAGGTTTAACTCAGGGTTTCATGGAACAGAAACTGTTCTTAAGCTTTTTTGTCATCATGCCATGTTGTGCAACAAATCCAGTTTTGATAATAGATTAAATAAGGATTTGTTGATAGATTTTTTTTCTTATTGAATTTTTTAGGGGGAAAAAACCTGTAAGATTTAATGCTTTAGTTTAATGAAAACCTTTGGAATTGACAACTAAGATTAAATCCTTTTTATTGGTTTAAAGACTACACAAAATATAGTGATCTAACAAAATATAGTGATGTAATTTTATTGTATAGCCCATTTTTCACTTATAACACAAGAATTTAGAAGGCCACCCTTTTAAGGATTCTAATAGAGATACATGGGGATAATTTAGATCTTTAAACATCTTAGCAATTTAACACAAATTTAGCATTATTTAGCATCTCTACAAAAGAACTGAAAGTTTTAAACTAAGGAGCATGACCATGAGTGCTGATAATAGTGCAATAATATTTTACAAGTACTTTTTATTAGAGGTCTTTTTATTTTTCAGTCAAAATGTACTGAATAAAAATATTAAACTTTTTTTTGTGTGTTTTTAAAATATTGAGCTTGGTTCTCCTTATTGACATTAACTCTTTCTTCCCAGCGTCTCTTGAGGGCTCTGAGCAGCTGCCGATGGGCCGCATGGTGAAGAAGATCCTGGAGAAGGAAGGCTTCTTTGGACTTTACCGTGGAATCCTCCCCAATTTCATGAAGGTGATCCCAGCTGTCAGCATCAGCTACGTGGTGTATGAGAACATGCGCTCTGGCCTGGGTCTCCAAAAGTAAGCTGCAGAATCCTCTATCTGCAGCAGTTCCATTATTTTTTAAATTGAAACACCCTTTCCTCTCTATCTTTTTTTGTTTTGTTTTTTTGTACCTCGAGGCCACTATGAGCTGGATGTATGCAGATGAAACTACTGTTAGAGGCTTTAAAGTGACAGCAGGACTTTGCTAGCCACTTTGAAATCCTGCAGGATTACTAAGAGTTTCCAATAGCACAGTGTTTACAATCTACCTACAGCTTTTCGTGCTGACACACCTGGTTATATGGCTTTAAATCACTCAGACAACTGTTGATTTGAATGGAAAGCCCACTGTTTTCCCTTCAACCCTTGGCATGTAACAGACCTGCATTAATAGTTTCCTTACGTTTAATCAAATAGCACTTTTATGGACCAGTTTCAACCCTTATCAGAAGTCCGAGCCATCGCCTGCTGTGAAAAACAGAAAAGTCACAATGCAAACACCCAGTTAGGCGAGACGTCACTCAGAAATCTGAGAAAAATTAAAAGTGCAATACCTTATCCTTTTAGGAATACATTTCATGGTGTTTACTAAAGAGTTAATATGTGGATATTATTGCACATTTAAAAAAAAAAGTGCCTTATGTTTTTCTTTTCTCAGATATCTGTTGATTCTGAATCTTCTGTATTTTCTTTTGCCTTTTATTTCCAATATTTGGCTCATGGATGTTTACAATAAACCTCTGATTATAAATAAAATGGCTTGTGGTTATGTTTTATTTTGAAAATAAATCCTAAAATAAAATACATTGCAAACTTGTAGGGACGAGACCAGCACTAGTTGAATCCTAAATGGACGACTGAAATAAAAAAAGGGCTTTTTTTTTTTTTAAACTACATTTAAATAAACAAAAGGTTTGGTGCACATTAGTTAGTCGTCTTTACTCTGATATCCATTCCAGTAGATGAATACCATCTGAGTGAATGAATCGTAATGTGAAAGCCCTGAAGTCATTTAAAGAATGTTTCTGAATAGATAGCATAATAAAGACCAAAGGACACAAGAGATAGGTCAGGGCTAGAATTGAAGCAGGCCTGGATTATGAAAACAAAGGCCTGGATTATGAAACAATGCACAGAGCATCCTTTAAATATGCATCCAGAAATATGACACAACTTCATGTTGTGGAAATGTTTTTTCAGCAGGTACAGGTATGGTGATCATGGCCTATAACACGGTATGTATAGAAAAACCAGGACAAAGCTGGAAGAAACCATTGATCATCTTCATTTCACTTTATGATACTGAATTATCCTAGGGGTTATCCTTCACTTATGGTTGTAATAAATTACTCTGAAGTTTATGGTTGCAACTTGATAAGTGAAAATGTACAACCTTTGCAAGAAACTTTATACCAGCCTTACTATTTGTCTTTCAAGGATCCCCACAGATCTTTTAGTCAGTGAAAACCCGTATTCTTGTTTAAAGACTTGTGTGCCTGGTGATGGTGCCTGTTTGCACACAGAGGCTCCAAGAATAGATGAATACGCTGTGGATGTCATGTAATTATTGGTGCTCCTTGTGATGAAAACACTGCTGACTTCAGATTCACACTGTATCAGGAGGACGATCACAATTCAAGTGTCAGCAACCTGGGACGCTGGAGTATGGAGGACCAACTCTGCCATATCTATAAATAAATACCGAAAAAAATAAATGCTCAATAAATAATCATACAATTAATTGCCCCCAAAAACACAAACAAATAAATGTAGGTAGAAATTAAATTATACTGCAACATAAATGTATCAATCTCTTTTAATTAGCTTCTTTATTTATTCGCCTTTGTAATAATTACCTTATTTATTTATTGTCAGTTATAATCTTCAACTTTATTACTTATTTAAGTATTTATGTGCATGATATATTGTGTTTTATTCTTCCTTTGTATTTTTTTACCCTCTTTATTTCTCCAATGCTATTTATTTCTGCCTGTAATTTTTACATTTCTGTCTGCATTTCTGCCTCATTATGCAAATGAGGAAGGGCTGTGTCTTAGAGCAGCGGCCCCCAAACACCGGGCCGCGGACCGGTACCGGTCCGTCGGTACTAGGCCGCACAGAAAAAAATATATATAATTTATCGACGATCAGACTCTGAGTGGTGTTTTATTTTGAAAATACAAAACATTAGGTTATTATCTCACAATTACATCATTCGGTGCATCTGTGCCTCTAAACACAGGTTAATTCAGGTCAAGATGCATCCTATCTATAACATCCTATCTTTGTGAAGCGGGATTTTCTGCGGTTACAGCGACCAAAACAAAGCTACGGAGCAGACTGGACATTAGGTGCACACTTCATGTGTCATTGTCTCCGATTACGCTTAGATGGGACCGGTTTGTTTCGGAGAAACAAGGTCATGGCTCCCACTAATTCAAGATAACGGTGAGTTTTATTTTTATGCTGTTTGTATTTGATTTTATACCAGTCGTATCATTTTATTTGATCGTATTTACCCCCACGTTTTAAAGGGCGGTCCGTGAAAATATTATCTGACATATAACCGGTTCGTGGCGCAAAAAATGTTGGGTACTGCTGTCTTAGAGGGTCAAATATGGCAGAGTTGGTCCTCCATACTGGTGTTAGTATCAACATCACTAATTGAAAAATAACTGGAACTCTATTTAGGTTTATATTAAAATGGCAACAGAAAACAGTTTCTTTAATGTTTAAGTGTGTTACAGTCGGTCTCTGCTTCTTTAACAACCATGATCGTAATAAAACTTTTCAAAAACGTTACATTTTGCGGAAACTTGTAGAAATAAACCCTCAAAAATAAATGCATCTGTGTTAGTGATATCAGAAAACAAGCAAAAACATTAATCCTCCAAAAGACTACTTTGGCTCTGTGCTCGTTTAATCCATTTTACAATTCACAAAGTTTTACAGAATGGAACATTTCAACTTTTGCTTTTACAGAATCTTCTCTCTTCTCTGTGCTTCTCAAAAGATTTTCTTGTGCTGCCAAGTTTAAGGGGCGTTATGTTTCTCTTTTGAAGCGTCAGATTTGTAACTCGTAAAAATCTAGATATGTTTCATATCAGGGTCGGCTCTATTCCCATCAGGTTCATCTTTAAAAATCAAAAAAGAAAACGGTGTTGTTCAAATGTGAACGCCACTCGTATGTGAAATACTAACAAAATGTGCATCGCTTCAAGGTAAATAAGACTGACAAGAAAAAAAAATATTTTTAAATCAATTAAACTGCTAAGATTCATGAGAGAAAAACCCTGTAGTTCTTCATATATAATAAAATGTATTCATGAGTAATGCAATTGACTGTAAAAAAAAAAAAAAATTAAGTAAAATCTTACTGACATGGGAACAAGTGTTTTTTTTTTCCTTGCTCCTGATTCTATTCTGTTAATTTGTGTAAAAAAAATACTTGTTTTTGTTGCTTTTTAAGTTTGTTTTCAGAGATAAAAAGTCTAAATTACCCTTTGGATTGTCTCAGATCTCTGTACTAATAAAGATATACGCAAATGTATTTTCTTTAAGGTCTAGACATATTTAAATCACACAAATATCAGTGTTGATTTGTTTTTATTCAATGCCAAGACCCATTATGGTGAATTCAGTTTGAAACTTCAGTGCCACCTAGTGGCAGAAGATAAAACTGATTACATTTGTTCAAATGCGTGAGGGCTTTCTTCAAACAGAACTCCTGAAATATTTATTCAACCTGGATTAACCTGCATTACAACAAAAGTAGAATCAAACCAAGAACTGCGATTGAAATGATACTATTTTGTATTTTTCATCTGCAGAAATAAACGGAGGAATAAAATCCAAAACATAACCATACACAATTCAGCATACAGTTTAGTTTATGCTTAAACAATTATCCTCAGAATAAACTTTTCTCAGGAAAGAGACCATTCATTAAGAGAGTGCCAAGCAGAGAAAAAAATGCCACGACAGTCAGGACGGTGCGCAAAGCCTTGAACCAGCTGGGATAGGTAGGGAGCAGAGACAAGTCATAGTGCAGAGAAACTCCAAGTCCCATGATGACCATAGTTGCTGCTGGAACAATGTTGTCAGTCATCAGCATGGCCACCCAGGCTAACAGCGAGGGAACCACACTGTTGGCCAGGTTTATCCAATCAGGTTTGGCTGGGCTGCTTTCGGGTAGGGCAAACCCCCACCGCGCTCCGCCCAGGAAGGAGAGGATGGAAGCGCCGTAGGCTACCTGCCCGTAGGCCAGCTCTGGGTAATAGGTCTCAGTTACAGCCATGAGCAGAGTTGGAGAGATGAAGGGGATAAGCCCAGCGAAGCCCAGAAAAAGAGCTGGTTTAGGACCTTTCCACAGGTGCTTCATGTCATACCGCACCAGGTCTAGCTCTCTTGGAGGAGGTTCAGGCTGTGCTCGTTTCTTCAGCCTCACAGAGGAGGAGTGGAAATATTGATTTCTCATTGAAGAGAACATAAAGTTACTATGATGCCTTTGGCAGAGTCCATTAAAATAAGGTTTTACTTGTCCAGAATCATTCAGTAAGGAGCTGGACGAGACTGAGGCTCCCTCCAGGGCTGATGTCCAACATCTTTGAGAACCACGTGCCCAAAGGAAAACCTAAAAAAAAACAGATTTAGTTCTTAAAACAATGTATCTATGAAGATTTGAGCAAATCAGATATGGGAATGTATTTCTTACCCCCTGTGACGCAATGGCGCTTCTTCTTAAAGCTACAGACAGCATCTGAGGAAAAATGTTTGAAGGAGGAATATTATTGAAAAGCAAAGAGACCCCTCTTCACTCTGAGTCTTTTGCTTCAATAAAACCTCCTTCTTTAGTACATTAATAACAGCAACATTTATATATAAAAAAAAAAAAAAGCACTTCCATTGTTTGCAAAGAAAACATCGTAACTATGTTTTTAGGATGTGCTTAAACAACATCTGTCGGTGGTAGGAGGTGAATGAAATCTGGAGGAAAAATCAATATATCTGTATCTGTTACATATACATAAGATCTAACATAGACACACATTCTGCCCTCAGCTATATGTAGTGACGACCATCTGTTGACTTTGTTGATTTTCAGTCATTTTCACCCCTTTCTGTGCTTAATTTACATTATCGCTAAACCTACCCTTTACAAGTGCATATCTAACTCAAACCAATTCACACTTTAGTCTGTAAACTAATTGTTGGTAAAACAGTAGTAAAGACCAGCAAAATGTCCTCACTTTGATGCCAAAACAGGAGAACAGCTCTACACAAGACAGGCTTCCAACGAATAATTTACAACAGATTCACACAGCACATCTAAAATAGCCCAGATTATAGATTATAGATTAGGTAATAGATCTAAGATCGAGTTGTAAAAAATATCCGTCATTGTTGCGTTGAAGTAAAAGGTGTGTGTGTGTGTGACTGAGTGAGTAAATTATTAAGGGAAGGGCATCGAAGAAGAGCCAATCACTGTCTCCTTAGTACAATAAGCCCTGTAGCTACACAAGGATAAACCTTTTTCATATTTTCCTTAAGATTTTGACCAAAAACCGCTTTATAAAGCACAATATTATAGCTTGAGGAACACGTAAACCTAAATATAGCTTGGAGAGGATTCAATAACTTAAGTAGACATTGGAAAAGCTTTCACAAGTCAGGCACTTATATATTTACTTTATTATGAAAAAAAAACACTTCAGCCATGAATGAGCTCTACTTACACACTGCAAAAAATATATATCTAAATAAGTCATTTTTTCTTAAATTAAGTGCATTTTTTCTTGAATTGAGAATGTAAGTGATGCACTTTGCCAATGGAACAAGACAATTTACATTTGAAATAAGAAAAAAACTATTGCTTAGTCTTATTTCAAGTGCATATTTTCTAATTATCTTATTTTAAGTAAGTAAGTAAAAATACTCATTCCATTGGCAAAATGGAATGAGTCTTATTTACCTGCTCAAATTAAGGTTCAATATACTTGAGTTAAGAAATTTTTACTTAATTTCAGATCGTTTTTGCAGTGCAGCTAATAAAAACCAATATCCTTTATGCAGAAATAATTACAATAGATAACATTTAATTTCAGGGGGGTTACATCATAGCTAAAACGGTGATGGTGAAGACCAGCAGGCATTTATTATAACACTCCACTTGAATAGTGACGAGATAATTCGGCCATTTGATCCAGATGTGTCAAAACAGATATGAAAGCAGGATACCAGACCTACAGGGCTGGAACTGAAGATGATCAAACACTCATTGAGAACAGCTTTCTAATGGAAGAGTGTTTCAGGGCTGCTACTAGGGGTGTAAATCACACCCATCATGGAGATTCAATTCAGTATCCATTTCCTGACCCAACGATTTAATTATTTTCAATACTCAGGAATACATCATCTTCTATTTCCTCTGACATGTCTGTCTTGCCTACTGTTTACTGAAGTGTGTGCAAGCGGAAAGAGGGTAGTGGCTAAAAGGAAGCGAGGTAGGAGGGCAAAATAGGTTTAGCCTCACTGCAGCACGGTAGTCAGAATGACGTCCAGGAGGAAATGGATAAAAATAAATGAATTGATACTTTTGTGGATGCGTCGCTGCATCGGATCGTGGGCTGTTGGATCGATGCATCCATACAAAACAACTATTATTTACACCCCTAGCTGCTCCACCCATCGTCTTTTCCTGACAATCGCCTGCTTTTTACTGATTTTCTTGGGATCCACTACCTTTGTTGACTGCTGGTCCCCCCAAAAACATTAGCAACACACTAAACAGTCATTCCTTGATCATTACACAGATTATCTGTATTTGGCTCAGATTTCAGAGATGTTGAAAATGTGTATTTCACATTAAAATGATAGACATATTCATAACCTTCCCTGATCCCTCCTTGAATGAACATCAAGAAGGGTTTCTACAGCAGGAAAAATTAGGCTAAACATCGCAAAGGACACTTTAGAAGCATTTTTTTGTTCATTTTGATCCAGGATTGTCTAATTGCATTTTTAAGTTGGACTACAAAGTCATTGGATTAATGGCAGCCCCTGGAGCACATGCGGGAGAATTTTGCCAACTTAAAATCCTATGACATCAATGTTTAGTTAAGAGTGAGTTATGGTTTGACCAGTAGATTACAATAATGTGCTCTAAATGACGAAAACACATCTTATTACTGCAGGTGATCTACGCAGATAATGTCTTTATGTTGTTGGTATAAATAATGTGGATAATAAGCTGCCCCCAGCCAGACATGAGCCTTTTTTTCAAACTAATTAGGTAAGAATCAAATGTGTGCGGTCATCTTTTAAGTCACTAGAACAGGTCAAGTGTAGATTATACAATAATGATTAAAAATAACTATTTTTTTAATCCAGATACTAAATCGACTGATAGTTTTCTTTTGGGACGATTCTTGAGGTCAATATTTCTTTTCTTCCTACATTTATATGATAAAAATGACACAATAAAAGTAAACCAAGGCTCAAATCAACAAATAAACACGTATTAACAAAGCTAACATTAACAATGGATAGCAGATGGTTCCGCTTTAGTGATCCCAATGCTGCTAAATGCAGTAATGAATTGGTGAATGCATGCAGAGCTACCGATTAACCGTTAACTTGAGTATAGAGTAAGGTTGGGCGATATGTAAAAGTGTTCCAGCCACCATTCGTCAGTCCAACAAATGGCGATGGATGATGTATACGTGCAAGTGACATTGTGGGCAAAGACAAGCACCCCTTCAGAGCGCATCTTCTGCACCACTGGTGATATTGTTAACCACCTGTGCACACTGTTAAATCCTTATAAGGTAAACTTGCATGTTTTTTTGTAAAAAATGTATGTCTCAGTCAGTAGGAATAGTTTCTTCTGATCCAGTTGTACTGACTAGGTTATGAGACATTATAGTTTTTTTTTTATTCTTGTTTATCTAAATGAAACTTTTTTTATGGAAAGCACACAGATTAACTGGAGGAGTGCCTATATTGGCACATGACAATATGCCAATGGAGGAAAAAAGAAGTTAATTTGGACAAAAATATCAGCTGGCCGATACATCATCAATGTCTACCAGATATCATCAATCTGCAATAAGTTATTAGTTCTGCATGAATATTGACAGGACATGTGACCAAAAAAGGCAAGTCTTTTTAGCTGTTTAGCAGTGTCCTTGCTGGATGCCATGCCTGATGCTACCAATAATCCAGGTTTCCTGTTTTAAAGTCACCACACCAGGCTGCATGTAGGTCCTAGAGATCTACCTTCCTGCAGATTTTAGATGCATCCCTGCTCGAACAGAGCTGAATCAAATGAGTGGCATACCTCTTCAGTAGACCACCAAGTTTGGAAAAGGCATCGTAACAAGCCATTCATTTGATTCAACTGATATGGAGCATCTGAAACCTGCAGACACATGCTGGCGACCAGGGTTGAAGACTTTTACATTTCAAGAAGAAAGCTTTAGACTGACTTGAACTATGTGAAACGAATAAAGCCAGGATGCACTGATCATGATTGGTCGAGTCTGGCTTTATCTCTTATTCCGGTTCCAACAAATACCTGCTTTTCGAAAACTGTCGCCATTACAATATTACGAAGAAAAAGATTAACTCGTCACGGTGAACAGCTCCCGCAAGATGGTTAAATGTCGTCTATAGTAACAACCCTGCAAACCCAGCTGTTCTGTTGTTTTTACCTCCGCTTCTGTGTGAAAACTTCACATTTGAAGCTATTCCTCGGGGTCACTCTCAGTGGGATTTTCTGTAAAGTTGGTACGTCGTTTATTTCTTCCGGGCGCATTCGCCTCTACGACGCAAAAGTTCCGGTTAGGACTAAAAATAAAAAAAGGCCCAACGCTTTCTCTCAAGTTTATAAAGGCCCAATTGTTGACACTCTGATAGTAAAAAAAAAAAAAACACCCCAAAACTGTTACATTTTATGAAATATAGGATAGTTAAATTACAAATTCATCAACATTGGAAATTGTCTTACACAAAAACTTACAGACTGTGTATGTGTGTGCTTTCATTGCTTCTCCACTCTCCAATTTTGCATTTTCTTTTTTTTTTTTTTTTTTTTTTTACTTTTACTTTTTTTAACAGTAGCTACAACAACTTACCTGCCTGGTGTTCTGTTTAGCTGTGACACCATGCAATCAGATGGGCCCCTGTTAACCTCTTCAGATTGTATTTCTGTGTTAAGCTCTGTTTATGTTGTGGAGACAGAAAGTGGTGGAACTTTTAGTGACATTAACTGTACCTGCTCCCTTTAGCTAAAAGCTTTCTCAGAATGTATCTGCTTAACAGCTTGTTTCCTAGACAAAGCCACTGGCAGCAAGTCTGCCTTTACCCTAACAAGAATGTATTTCTGGATCAATTTTTCTGTGCTATTTCAATGTCTTTTTCCGATTCTACTGGAAGTTTCCGCCTGTTAATAATATTAATAATAATAATAGTAATAATAGTAATAATAAAAGGACATGATTAATCTCACACTGGAGAAATTCAACTCTGCATTTCACCCATCCCCTTCAGGAGCAGTGGACTGTCATTGTGCAGTGTGGGGTTAAGGGTCTTGCTCAGGGACTCACAGCACTTTATCAGAGCACAAGCGCACTATATATATATATATATATA